TATTCATTTTCTCCCACTTCCTGTTCTGATCTTTATTCTGCAAACCTGTGTCCAGTTTGCTGTGTGTGTCAAATCACAGTTTTCACGTTGTTCCTGTTTCATGATCATTTTTTATCATCAAAGCCAGCCTTTCATCAGCCATGTGGAGATGAGGAGCAGCGAGAAACAGTGAGGTGTGGTGGAGGCGAGTGACCAGCAGAGGGAGACATAACTCAGAGCGCTCAGCTTCCAGAGTGAGGGATGCTGGGAGGAGGAAGAGGAGGAGGTGACACCAGCAGAGGCTGCAGAGATGCTAACAGCTCAGACACACAAACACACTCTGGCAGGAGCTAACTGCTAACACACGCAGAGAGACAGACACACACACACACACGCAGAGAGACAGACAGACACACACACACACAGGCAGACAGGTAAAGGCAGGCTGGAGCTGGCAACACACACACTGAACTAGCTGCTGTTAGCATGCTGTGGAGAGAAGGCTAATCTACTGACACACACACACACACACACAGAGAGAGAGAGACACACACACACACACAGACACACACGCAAAGCAATGCAGTGTCCAGGACTTTCAATTGGACGGTGAGTGATTTATCAGTTAGACCCTTAGGTGTGTGTGTGTGTGTGTGTGTGTGTGTGTGTGTGTTAATATGTTGATGACAACTGCTATGTGCTGCTGCTGTTGCCATGGAAACAGTCATGTATTTGTCCTGTCAGAGAAGTCACCTGTCAGACATCGAACATGTGATCAGTGCCAGGTGAGTAAGAAGGTGTGTAGCTGTGCAGCCACAGTTGCAGAGTGTCTCTGTGTCCTGCAGCTGTGCTGCCACACTGGAGTACAGTTCTCCTCTGTAACCTGCTCGCTATGAGTTTAACTTCGAGGGAATGATGTCAGACACTCACAGAGGTTTTCATCAGATTTATCAACCATGATTCTGGTTTCCTGCGCTGGATGAGGTTTTTGTGTTTGATTGATTGCTCTACACTCTTGGTGTAACTACAGCCCGTGGCCACCAAACATTAGGACGCCTCAGAGGAGAATCAGTGTGGACGTGAAGCTGAGGATCAGGACGTTTCCACAGTGTGTAATCTAAACCATGCCGCAGCAGATTAACGACTGTCCTCATGTTGTGGATGGATATTCTCAGACATTCTCTCGGCAGACGTGTGGTCCATTTTTTGGTATATTCTTCAGTAGGTTGGGATCGTCACTGATGGACACTAGGAGTTCATGCAGTGTTTCAAAATAACGACCCAGCAGCTGCCTGGAGAGATTTCAGCAGTGTAGTAGTAGACGTGCTTCTACTTATACTGACTGTGTGTTTTTGGTTGTGTGTGCGAGCACAGGTGCAGATGTAGTCAAACCTCAGATTGACAAACATTTGAGTGGGGGGTGGAGCCTGCAGGTGGTGATGTCAAAGCGAGGAGCAGGAGGGCGGAGTAAGGGGGAGCGACTGGACACCATGGCAACTCTTCAAGCAGCCAATGAGGAGCTCCGAGCGAAACTGACAGAGATCCAGATCGAACTACAACAGGAAAAGAACAAGGTAAGGACTACAACACCCAGAGTATCCCAAAAAGTTGATCCTGT